CCAGTGCTTCCAGGGCCCTCGGGTGGCGGGCCGGTCCCTCCTGTGCTGGCTCTTCCTTCTAGAGTCCCCGGGCCCAGAAGGGCCTGCAGGCCTGCGCCTCCAGCTGGGACAGGCTGAGGTGTGGCTGGGCCGGCTCGCAGACCAGGAGTTCCCTTTCACTGTCACTGTGGAGCAGCCGCTGTCTTTGCCTCCAGCAGCCTCTCCCGCTGTCTTTGCCTCCAGCAGCCTCTCGCCTTAGCCCAGCCCCTCCCTTTGCTGGGGCCTGGGGCCTGGGGCCTGGGGAAGCTGGTCCAGGGCCCTGAGGGTAGAGTGCAGAGAACTCTGCTCCACCCCCTCCCCAAGCCGCCTGCCTTTGCAAGGAGAAGCAGGTTGACCTTTGACCCTTTTTCAAATTCCAGGGCCCTGCTCCCCCCTTTTACAAACTCCCACCACTTCCTCCATGACATAAGCACAATGGCAGCTGACTTTGCCTCTGGCCTAGATCTGCTGCTGCTCCTCCCCCCAGGGACCACCCCAGCTGCTGCTCCCCACTTTCTCTGCCCCGGGCCCTGGAGCCTGGATGGAGCCTGGAGTCGCGCTCCAGCACTGAGCTTGGTTGCCTGTCCTTCCACGTCCACTGCACAAAAAGATCCCCTTTTCCTGCTCACCTCCTGGCCTCCCTCCAGGGCTGTGGCCCCCCCCCCCCCCCCCACACACACACACACAGCAGCCGCTGAGACGAGGGAACTGGGCGGCCATGGCAGGCCTCTGTCCCTCTAAACCAGTTGGAAGTTGCGACCACAGCCACAGAATGGAGCTCACCCCCTCTAAGGCCGTAAATTTTGTTCCACCCCAGCCAGGAAGTGCCCAACACATTCTGGTTGTTTCTGTGCGAGGAGGCAGAGCCTCAGATGCCTGGAGCCGCTGCCTGTGAGAACGGCTTGTGACCAGGGCCTGTGTGCAGGGAGCTGGGGGCTGGGGCCCTGGGGCCCCTCCCCTTCCTGGCCCTGTGGTGCTGAAGCATTGCCGTCCCCGGCCTGGGGTCTGCCTGCGGACGAGGCCAGCTTCTGGGGGCGCTTGTACATTCACTCTCTCCGTCTCCTCTCCTCTCCTCTGCAGCGCTCTGGGCCGAGGCCCTGGTGGGCTGGGTGTGGGGAGTAGGGCCATCCATCCCCTTGCCCAGGCCCTTGTTCTCTGCCCCCACAGGCTCCTGGGAGTTGCCCTGGAGGGGGCTGTCAGCTGGTTCTTACTGTCTCTGAGGTGCCAAGATGCCTTTTTCAGCCCAAAGAACTGAAAATTAGAAAAAATGGGTCTCGGACTGTTCTCAGGCTTGGGTTCCAGTGTCCCCATACCTTTACCTTTGTCCCAGGCTGGGACCTGGGCTAAGGGGTCCCCTAAAGAGCTGGATGGAGGGTTCTTTTTGCCTCTGGGGCCAACTCCCCCCTGAGGCCAAGCAATGTCCCTTGGCTGCCTCTCTTCTCGGCTTTTGCTTTGGGGGTTGGGCTGCCTTCTCTCTCTCTCTCTCTCTCTCTCTCCTGCCCCCCACTCTCCCACTCAACCTCATTCTCATTTGGTGGGTCTGATAGTCTTGGAGTGGGTGGGTCTTGGTGGGAGGGGTGGTCAGGAACAGGGCTGCTCTGAGGCTGGGCCACCTCCTGAGCCCGGACGGACACCTTTGGACTGACTGGTTTGAGCTCTGGAGTTGTCCAGGTCCCTTGGAGGCCTGAGCCGTGCAGCCCTCACCGCTCTGCTCTTTGCCTCCTTCCGCACAGTGCCTGGAGAAGTTCCCAGTGATCCAGCACTTCAAGTTCGGGAGCCTGCTGCCCATCCACCCCGTCTCACTGTGCTAGGAGGGGCTGAGCAGCCAGAGCCGTGGCCGCAGTTGCAGTTCCGGTGTCTGCCCCTCCCGCCCCCAGCTATGGTCCCCTCCCGCCCCCTCCCTCTGTTCTTTCTGTTTGATGAGAGGCTGTCTGTTGGGGTGGGTAGTGGGTGCGGGTGGAGGAGGGCTCAGGGCGTAAGGCTGAAATACTCAAGTTGGGAGAAGTGACCAAAGTGTGGCCAGTTTCCTGACTCCGCCAGGTGGCTGGTCCCTGGGCCGTGCCCCACCCCTAGCCTGCCTCTCCCTGTCCAGTCCTATTTTGAGATCCAGGCTGTTCTGGGCCACTGCCCCCAGGGAGGGAGGGTTTTGCTGATGTTGTTGCTCTCTTGGGGTTGGAGCAGTTGCCCCCCACAGGTGGGTCCATTTCCCAAGCCGCATTGGGTGGTGGGTGTTCTGAGGGCTGGAGGCCGAGACTGGTGGCAGCCTTGGCTGGAGTCGGGCAGGGAGAGTCATTGGCTGTTCTTGCCAGTAACCCTTCCAGCTCCTCACGGCTGCCCTGGGCCTTTGAGTACCTGTGTTCAGTGCCTCATCCTGGCTTTTCTGTTCTCTGGCCTTGGCTTTGCTGGGTTTTCTGCCATGGCCAAGCCTGTCCTCCCCGAGAATAGCCTCTGGAAGCTGCCCTTTGGGTGGGGCTGGGCTCCTGGTGAGGCCTCCACTCCAGCTTTCTCTGGGGGGCAGGGGGAGTGGGGGGGCGGCAGGGACTGAGGAGGGGCTCTGGGCCAGCTGTGGTTGGGGAGAACCTGGCTTCCTCTCCGTGCATTCTCACGACCACTTCTGTTTCCTCCTCACCGCGGCTTCTTTTCCAGGGCCCTTGGCCTTGCTTCCCTGCCCTGTGGACGGTGGTGAGTGGCTGCGGGAGGCTGAGAAAGCCTGCTCCCTTTCCTCCCCCCTCCCTGGACTCCCTGCTCAGGATGAGGGAGCGATGGCCCCCCAAGCCCAGGCTTTGGCTCTGAGGATGGGCAGGCCCACCCACAGGGTGAGGGGGTCCCGGTAGCAGCATGTCCGTTCCGGAGTTTCCTGGGGCTGCTCCTGGGACTGACTCTTGCAGACCCGCCCCTGCCCAAGCCCGGGCTGCCCTTCCGCATTCACCACTCCTCATGTCGGCCCACATGCCCTTTGGGGACGGGGAGCACACGAGAAGCACAATCCAGGGTTTGACCCTGGGATCCGGGTCAATGGCCTGGCAGAGGCTGGGACAGGAGTCACTGGAGCCACAGACATAATTCCCCGAGGAGAGGCGCCATCAGTGTCCACCTCCCTCCTAGGTCCAGACCACGCCTTCCTGTGCCCCCACAGGCCCCTCAGCCCCTTGGCGCCTTCATTGCTGTTCGGATTAAAGCCTCTGTTTTGCACCTGTCATCTGTGTCTTTTTTAAAAATAATGTTTTTATTGATTTTAGAGAGAGAGAGAGACATCCATCTGCTGCCTCCCCAGAACTCAGATCCAGCCCACAAACCTGGGCATGTGTCCTGACTTGGAATCGAACTGGCAACCTTTCGGTGCATGGATGACACTCAACCAATGGAGCCACAGCAGCCAGAGCCACCTGTGTCTTTCATGTCACATGTTCTATCTTCACAGGACTATGTGTCCCCCCCATCAAGTCCCCTTCCCCTGGGCCCTGGAGTCTAGGGCTCGAGCTGTTTCACCGGGGTGTGGGGTGGGACTTTCCTGGGCAGTGAGGAGGTGCCCCGCTGGACCTGTTGTGGTTGCCCACGCAGGCATGGGAGCGGAGACCTGGGTTCAAATCCTGAGTGTCTGCACCCCGGCTCTAAGGTCTTAGGTAAATTACTGAATCTCTCCGAGCCTCAGCTTCCTCATCTATAAACGGGGACAATCCCAGGGCAGCTGCCGGGATGGGGGAAGGATGTGAAGTCCTCAGCCCGGGGCCTGGCACAGAAGTGCCCAGTGCTCACTGTGGCTCTTCCTGGAGAAGCAGCCCCTCTGGGCTCTGGCTCAGCCCAATCTGGCCTGGGAGCCTTGGGACCGGACTTGGCTATGAAATGGGCCCCTGCAGTTTTTAGGGGTGCCCTCTTCCTCTGTACCCCTGTGTCTCATCCTGGTGAGGGGGGGTCGGCTGTTGTGCCTGAGACTCCTTGGACTTCCTTCCACACTCCTGCCCTGGGCTTCCGTCTCCAGCGAGGCTTCTCAGAAGACAAGAGCCGGAGTCTTCTCCTGGCCTCGAGGTCTCGCCGAGCAGGGGAGCCGCCATCCTGGAGCCCAGCTCTGGAGTCAGGCCGCACTCGGTAGTGAGGAGACCCTGATCTGAAACATGGGCAGAGTGATACTGAGAGCACAGACATGCGCTCCTACAACAGCTGCCTGCACACCCCTCGTTCTAGTGTGGGTGCAGCAGCGGGCCCTGTGCCAGATGCTGGGGGTGCTGTGCATGAGGAAGGACTGGCGAGGGGGTTACCTGCGTCACAGGGTTCACGGGTGGGTCGGGACAGGCACCTCAGAGGACATGAGAGCTGAGACCTGAGGAGGAGCCAGGGGCGGGGCAGCGGGGACCAGGGGCAAGGGTGGGAGGGAGTGGGAACCAGGCATGGTGGCTCCCGGAAGCACAGGGCCCCGTCCAAGTCCAGAAGCAGGAAAAAGGACTGCGCAGTCGGGTTGCAGAGCTGAGCTCTGGTGGACACCTACTTCCCCTGGAGGAGTTTTGTTGTAAAGGAGCAGGGACCAGACGGGGAGAGGGTGGGGGCTCGAGGTCATGCTCAGGCGGTCTGCACACCGTTCTGTGCGGGAGTCACCAGGAGCAGGAGAGGCCGTATGCAAGCGAAAGGGAGGGGCCTGGAGGGAGCATCCCTGACTAGGTGCCCGGCTGCCTGTCCACGGTGCGGGCACCTCGGTGGCGCATTGTGCTGGGTTTACTTCAGAGAAACTGTGGCCATGGGTGCCCGGGGCCGAGTGGGGGAGGGGCCGGAGGCGACGGGTGGACGAGGTGTGGACAGTAGGGCCAGCGGGACACGGAGGACATTGGCCAGGGCTGCAGGGGGGGAGCCTGCCGAGGAGCTGGGATGGGGCATGCGGGGGAGCGGTACCGCCTGCCACACCGGCTTGGCCTGTGCTGCTGCCTCATCCTCGGAGGGGCGTGGGCCTGGAGCTGGGCCGGGAAGCGGGGGCTTCTCACCATTTGGGCAGAGAGGCCCCAGGAACAAGGGGACCGCCAGCCGTGCTCCTGCCTGGCGGTCAGGGGCCCGGGGGCACTCCGTGCTCACGGGGTGAAAGCGAAGAGGCCTCTCCTTTTTCAAGGAGAAAACCCGCAGGAAGCAGCTGGAGTGGGAGGCGGCGAAGGTGAGCGCTTGGTGCGCCAACACTTACACCAGCGGGGAAGCCAACGACAACTACCCACGTGCCACCCACAGGACTTTGGGGGACACGGTGGGAAAGGTGAGACTCCTGCCGTCAAGAGCCTTCGGGGAGCCATGTGCACAGCTTGTAGGAAGGGGATGATCCCGCGCCTCCCTCCCTCCTCCCCAGCCTCTTTTTTTTTAAATCTTTAATTTCTTTATTGGTTAAGGTATTACAAATGTGTCCTCTTCTTTATTGCTACGTTCATGTAAAAAGTTTGATATCTTTGGGGTAGTAAAGAAAGCCACAGTGTATATAAAGAAAGTTGTAGGAAGTTAAAAAAAATGGCTTTAGTGTTTAGAAAAGCAGTTATGAATTACTCCTTGGGTTTACTTATCCAGGCGATCGAAATTCTGGGTTTGGAACTCTTGGAAGTCCTGTGGGATGGTGTCATTGCAGCGATACCTAAGGTTGGACCAAATGATGTTTTCTTGGGAGAAGCAGAAGACGCCGAGCCGGCCTCCTCGCATGGTGGTGTCTGTGGTGACTCCAGAGTCAGCCACCAACTCAGAGCCTTCACAGAATCGCACCCTGGCGTAGCCCACCTGGGGCCTGTGCTGCAGGAACCGGCGGGAGGACACCTTTTCCTTCCAGCCCACGTTCCTGGAGTCCTTCCACAGCAGCCTGACCTGGTCGCTGGTGTCCGTGTGCCACAGGGAATTTCGGAGATGCTCCCCTGGACCTGTCTGGGACTTAACAGCCTTAAGCTGAATGCCAGGTTCTGCAACAGCCCGGAACGGGGTGGCCTGCCAGTACGTCTGCTCTGTCTGCTTCCACGTGACCGCGTAGGAGCTGGAGCTGTCCTGGGAACCAAAGATGAAGCCGGCATAGTCATCATCCGTCTGGGTATTGACGTGGGAGGTCCCCTCGCAGTCAACTCCATTAAGAGCCGTGTATCCGACTGCCAGCCCAGGGTCGCTGTTCATGGTCTGCACAGTCTCCATGCCCTGGTTCAGGACCACCCAGTTGGGATCGATCTGGGCGTCCCCTTCAGGGTCCAGGACACGGTCTGGTCGGCCCTGACGTCGGTCAGGGTGGCCTCAGCATTCTCCGGGCAGACGTCAATCCGATCGATGACCTTGTCCTGGTCAAAGTCTGTCTCACAGAGGTCTCCCACGCCGTCACTCTTGCTGTCCTCCTGGGCCGGGTTGGGGACCAGCCGCAGTTGTCCGGACCAGGGGGCACCAGGTCTGGAATGCCGTCATTGTCATCATCATCATCCCACTCGTCACCGATTCCATCCTTATCAGTGTCCAGCTGCGAACTGTTAATGACGGCGGGGCAGTTGTCTGCGCTGTCCTGGTGCCCGTCTCCGTCGCTGTCCTGATTGGTGTCACAGGAGCCCCCAGCCAGATCGTTGTCCACATCAGACTGGTTGGGGTCGCTGACATCAGGACAACTGCCTCAGGCATCCCCACGCCATCGCCATCCCCGTCCTGTTGGTCACGATTGGGAACTTGCTGGCAGTTGTCAGAATGTTTTTTATTCCATCTCCATCCATGTCATCATCGCAGGCATCCCCTTCCATCCCCATCGGTGTCTTTCTGGTCATCATGTAGGACGTCCCGGCAGTTGTCACAGGCATCCCCAACGATATCTTGGTCGCTGTTCCTTTGGTCCACGTTGTGAGTCAGGACACAGTTATCCTGCTCATTCAGGACCCCGTCGCCGTCAGCATCCTCATCACAAGCATCGCCAGTGCCGTCTCCGTCTGCATCTTCTTGGCCGTAGTTTGGCACGGACTTGCAGTTCCTTGCAGAGCATGGCAGTTCCTCGTCTGGGTAACTGTCAGTGTCCACATCCTTCCCACAGAAGTAGCCACCGCCAGCCCATCTGACACGCACGTCACATCCCCTGCCTCTCCTCCATGCACTGCGCGTTCACACCGCCAGGGTTCAGTTCTGGGTTTCTGCAGTTTCCCTCCGGTTTGCATCCCCTCGTCTGGTCACCAGTGTACCCGGGTTTACAAGGCCCGCAGCGGTAAGATCCTAAAGTGTCAGTGCGTATCGAGGTGAGAACACACGCTCCATTTCGACACTCATCAATATCAGTGCAGACCTGTTTATTAGACTTAGCAAAGCTGATCCCCGCACCCTGCACCATGGACCCTGTGAAGCCCCCGGGCAGGCGTCACATCTGAAGCCGGGAGCTAAGTTCACGCAGCGCACACCCGGGTAGCAGGGATGGTTTTTGCACTCATCAATGTCAGGGCAGCGCCTCGCGCCTCCCTCCCTCCCTCCCTCCTCCCCAGAGGCGCTCCCCCCTCCTCCCTCACCTCTTCAATCCCCGGGCTGATGCTCTATCCACTGAGCCAAACCAATCTGCACTCCTCTACCTCCCTTTTTTTTAGGGCCTAAGGTAGAGGGTTTCAATCACCTTCTTTTTCTGGTGGATTCAACTAAGACCACTTTGTTGAGGGTGAAGCACTCACATTTGCCTCTTTGTTGATCACTGAGAGAGAAAGAATTCTACAGGGCCCCTGTAGTTACATTGTGAAATCCCTATGTGAGGGAGAGAGAAAAGGAGAATATGTCATTTCTTTCCATGTCTCTAATATTCAGAAATATTCCCCCAAGAAAATTGGGGAGAAGAGACAGGGAATAAGATGATGTGTGCCTAGCTCCTGAGAAGCCTTCTCAAACTCTGAAAGAATCACAGGAGAACTCCCTGTGCACTAAAAGGCATCTCTGCTCAGCCTCGGTCTTGAAGAATGTCTTGGCTTAGTAGTCCTTTTCCAGAGAGCAGGTTGCCTAACTTAGTGAAGAAGTTGCACCATGTCTATGTTTTCCATCCCATTCCTCTGACCTCATCCTCTTAGATTTCTTCTCCGCAAAGCCAATTGAACAGTTGTATCTCAGACTCAGGCTCAAAAACCTCTCGGATGAGTTGTCACACCTGTATCCTACTCTCACCTCACCCTGGCATAACCATGTTACATGTTTATCTACTTTAAAAGATGGTGAGAACATCAGGAGAGACTATTGGGAGAGCTATGGGCATATTGAC